CACTTCTGCTTTAAAGTTGAACAAAATCAATGTTTTGAACAAGACAATTTACAAAGTGACATCCACTGTTGATGTGGGGTTTGTTGTGAAAAACATTGTGTCTAGTTTGATGAAGAAGGGAAAGCTAAGTGACACAGGTGTACTTCAGTTCAAATATGATTGCCAAAGTTTTCTCGTCAATGTTAAAAGAAGCTTATGGTAAAATCCCCAGTCAACTACCAGTTAGTTCATACTTTAACTTGGTTGAATCCTGCATTCTTACATCTCAGCCAATGAACTGCAAAGCAACCCTGTCATTGGCTGTCAACCTGTTTAAAATTACTTTTTGATGCTGATCACGTAGATTTGCATCAATGTGACACAAATATCAAAGAGTTCCAACTTCTCATGGACAATTCAAGAAGCAAAGGTTCCCCAGTATCCTTCACATCCTTCAACAAAGAATTTGATGGACTGGATAAGTTTTACTCTGCACTGGAAGGAAAGCCCCACTATAAACATCTTTGGGTTGTCGTGAAGTTAATAATAAACTTGTCACATAGTCAAGCAGATGTTGAGCACACGTTTTCTGTAAACAAAGAATTGGTAGTGGAGAATAAAAAAAAATCACTTGTAGCAAGAAGGCTGATAAATGATCACATTGGAGATGTTGGAGGAGTTTGTAATGCCCCCTTATTAAAAGACCTACTGACAACAGTCTCATCAGGTAGACAATGTACAGAAGGTACTTAAAGAAAAAGTAGCCAATAGAAAACAAAAAGTCAAGCAGGCTGAAAAAAGGAAAGCTGTTGATACAGCAGTTAGAACCCTGAAAAGAAAAAGCGACTTTTGGAAGAGGCACATCTGTTTGGTGCTCATGAAAAGGCTGAACAAATGACCTTACTTTTTTAGCAAAATCTAATGCTGTGAGATGTAGTGCTAAAGAAAATAGAGCCACACTGAAGGAAAAAGAGGAGTAAATTTCTTCAAGGTTGGAAGAGTTGAAATAGAAACAGTAGAGGTGGGTACTTGGTATATCCCGACAAAAGATGTCTTACTCAGACCTGCTGAACTAGTTGTGCTGAAGAAATCAATCATATTGGCTATCATGTCTTTGTATAATCAATTTAGAGTATGTGTGTTGATCTAGTAAATTATGATATTCAGATTAGATGCTAAGGATATGATTTTGCATTAAAAAAAAAGTCATTAAATTTTGGGACTTGATCCTGGAAAAGTTGTGGAAATTATTTTGCCTGAAAGTGCAAGAACCCTGACAAAGTGATCACAGGCACATTTTGGCAGCTACTAGAGGACACTGGATCACTTTTTACACTTAATCCATATTTTGCTCACATGGAAGTCAAACTTGCTGTGTGGATTCAAAATGCTTCTTAACTTCTAAATTGTAAACTTGTAAATAGTTTAAAGACATAGAAGTTCACGAATAAGCCGCCTATAAATGCCTTTTTGCAGGAGTAAACGAAACTTTGAATTGCAATGCAATGGACTTTTGTTCCTTCTGGAAATAGAGACAAAGGACAATTAAGAGGAGGGAAATATCTGGATACCTAAGACTAGCAAATTTTCTGAAAGAGACTTCGCCATGTTGGGTTTTTTAATATACCAAAATCTAAGAGCCAGACCATCACTCTAGAAAGCCAAAACATAAGCCATCATCTTGGTTAAATTCTTTGTCACAATGAGAGGCAAATTTTGCTCAAGAATGCAAAAAAGTTACTAACAACAACTCTGCATAAATATATATAGAGAGAGAAAGAAACAAGTGATGAGAAAAAAATTAGAAATGTTGACAATAAAACAAACAGTACAGGAAGGAAATAAATAATGGATGATGGAATTTGATGTTATCTTTCAAAAAAAATGATTGAACTTTGTATGTTGGAAACTGTTCAGTCAGAGACTGCAAAAGTTAAATCACTGCAGAGTTTTAGCTGCTCTACATACCTAGTGACAGTTCCACAAAATATTTTTAAAACCTAAAAGCAGGAGTGCTCTCTTTTTAAATTATGTTAAAGGAAAAGCATGTAGCAGTGACAAATTGCTTAATAATCTTGAAATTGTTTTAAAACTGAATAAGAAAGTATAAGAAGAAACAAAGTCCTGGATGAAGATTAACGTATAAACTGCAGCAATACATTATACAATAGATAGATGCAATGAAAAGAAGGTTAATAGCTGCAGAAAAAAAAGAATAATAATCAGAAACCAATATTAATTATATATCAGTTAAAACACTATGCCAAATATTGGAAAATCCAGAATAGCTAAGAACCAAAAAAAGTAGAATATTTTTGGAGCTATCCAAAGAGCAAAGAAAGAGCAAACTAAGCCAAATAGAAATGTATAAGAAACATTGAATGAAATTAAATATGATGAATTATATATTTTTGTATTAACTACTGATTTTAAAAATAGAGATCTTGTTTTAATTTTATCATAATCATGATCCTGAACCCCGAGACACCTCAGCAAAAGTTTCTCCTGTACAGTATGGTAGTTCAGATACAACAGTCCAAATTCTAGCATTCCTTGATGAACAACAGTGTTTTCTCCTTTCTATTTTGCTAAGTTGAAAGGGTGGTGGCTTGACCTGCTGGTAGGGCTTCCTACACAAAGTTCACCTGACAACATTAATCATTAGCTTTAAGAACAAATATTTACTTTTAGAAAATAACAGAATAACTTATATTAATCCCATGATGCCCAGTGCCATTTTTAAATTCCTTTCTGCATATGGTACTGCGTTATATTAAAAATTTAATTAAACCACTTTACTATCAATATGTGTCAATAAAATTTACATTATAATGTATGTTATAATTTGAATTTTTATGTTATTTAAGTTTTAATTACTTTGTTTCAAATGGAAACATTAACAAAACAACTTGAACTGCAGTTTTAATGTCAACTTTAGCAAAACAACTTGAACTGCAGTTTTAATGTCAACTTTAGCAGCAGTTCACTGTTAGCCACATAAGCTGGCAATGTACATGAGTATTTACATGCTAATGTACATGTGTTTGAGCTACTTGACATGCGAGATCTAAAGTCAGTGAATGCATTCTCTGGGAACCAGATATAAATTTACAACCTTTGATGGGTGCCATGCCTTCTACATTTTGCTTTGAGATCTACAATGTACATCTACTTGGTTGAAATAGGTGCACAGTTTGCATTATAAAGTAGATCTAACTGTCATTAGTATTGTTTTCTGCATGAATGACTATAGCACTTACGTTGGTTTATTATCTAAATATTCTATAGTTAGAGAGACAATTAAATTGTTTTTAGGTCTTACTTTGTATTTTAGTTAATTGTGTATTATGTGTGTTTTAAAAACCACATTTGAATGGTTTAATGATTTTTATAAGTTTAACTTGTCATCTGGATTGTGAAAAGTTATAAACAAGATGACATGCAAAAGCACCATCTTGTCTAGACAACACATCTCTGCAGAGAGTCTGCCAAAATAACTTCATAAAGCCCTGCAGCCATCAGTTAATGTATTGGCATAAATGATAAAAGACAAAGAATTTGAAGGGAATATTAAATATAAACTATAAGTGAAAAGACAAAGACATGAAATCACACACACACAAGAAAAAAAAAGGCTCTACTACTGGATTTCTAGGAAGAGTTGAAAGGTATGTACATATTTCCATTTGTTCATTTTAAACATTTCATTGCACTGTCTGCTGATGACAATAGATAGTGATATAGTAGAGAAAATGGAAAATAAAATATAAACATTCACTTTAATTAAAAAACTTGATATTCATTTATGAGGTTCTGGATATTATGCAAATGGAATGTGAAAACTGTAATATTAAAAATAGTATTTTTTATACTTCATATAAAAAAAACCTTGTGGGTGAACTAGCGACAAATAACTACATGTAATAACGAATTTTTATTAGAAGTAGTAAAAAAGTACAAATTAAATATTTTATTTTTTCTGAAACTAAATACTTTTAGGAATGTTTTATCAAATTTCAAACAATTTCACCCATTAGTTATATTTTTGCAATGAAACGTGACAAGAGGGGGTGTTACCTTCTCTTTGATAGCAAATCTGTGCACCATAGGGTTAAAAATAATAACTTAAATTTGAGTAGCATACAGAAAGTTACTAAAATTGCTAAACATAACTACTGATAATAACAGCAACTAGTTGTACTAGTAATGTAACCACTGCTGTTATTATTGATCACATTCATAATTCATATACAAACAGAACAAATTCTTTGCTTCCTCAGCTCTTCTATAAGTAGAAACTGGGAGATACAAGACATCAATCATTGTGTGACATAGATCTGGTTGGAGCTTACACTATGTATCTGTCAATCATATTTTACAACCAATGAGAATATAAAATCTCGTTTTTTACTTGAATAATTAAAAATTTTAACTCCATACTAGCTTTTAACATTTAGCTCTTTAAAACATTTCATTTCATTTATCAAAAACAAATTAAATCATGCATACAGGTTTTAAATTTAAATATATTGTAATGAAAGTTCATCTTCACTTAGTTTGAAATTGCAAACCTTTGCATTCAACTTTTTAGTGTATTGTGGAAGACAGATGTGAGCATTACTGGAGAGTTAATTTTAACATTATTATTTCTCAATAATCATTAGAAAAATCAAGAAAATTTCATTGTAGATTTATTACTTTTGAAGTGCTGAAAACAATGATAAGTGATTTTTATTACATTTTTGGCTACTTAAAAATCGACCAAGCCAAATCATTTACGTATTACAAATGCAAACAGTTAAAACTTCCTGTTTTACACCGCAAACTTATAGATGATTAGGTAATTCAGCAAACATAATATACTCGTAAGTCTGGTGTTACAAGTCAATACAAAAATGTTGCACTCATAGTGTATTTTATCAGTGAAGAGAGAGAACAGCTGTACTGATCACCTTCATGCTTAGAGAATAAAATGGGTGAACTGTAAAAATGGAATGAAAAATTGAAACTTTACAAAAATATTTTTTAAGTAATAAAAGAGTTTTAATCCACTGCTACCATGTGTAAAATTCTCAAAAAAAAAGTAGAGATATTCAGCAGGGTGAAGTAGACCTGTTTTTGAAAGAGAAAAAAAATCTATGTGTAAACATAAACAACAACAAAGCAATTTAAATAAGTTTTGGTACTAGTACCACCTTAAAACATAATTTCAAGTACTCAGTACCAGTGAGTACCAGCAGAATTTCACCCCTGACTGCCACTAAACACATTAATCATTTTAGTGATATTGACAACCATGTTTTATAATTTTATCTGAAAAGAGTCTGTATTAACTGTTGAAGCAAGAACAACTTTTAAAAGTCTGTTGGAAAACAGGAGCTTCAAAGAATTTATAAATAAACTTATTTTGTGTATTGAGCAGAAAGACCCACTCAATAGTGTTATGAACAATTTTTATGATAATGAAACAAATAGACCGCACATTGAAATTATTGACACTGTCCTCAGAACTACTTCCAAATTCCATGACTTTCTATTAGATATTGTACACTTTCAAATACCTAACTCTACGATATAAAAAGATGCAAAATTGCTATGTTATCTGAGCTACCACATAAACTAGTGAAACCTGTTATACCTATTACAGCTATGACATATGGTAGAAAACTGAATGTAAACCAAAAGCTGTGTACCAAAACACTGAAAATAGAATTGCGAATATCTGTGTTATTATTTGTCTTGAATTTCCATGGGTTTTTTTTTTGTCATCCACATGGCAAAAAAATTTCCAAAAATAAAAAAATAGCTTTACTTGAAGTCATTTGTTTATACATATTGAAAGATACTGTTTTTCTTAGCTATGATGAAAAAACTACTATAAAACCATATCTGCACTTTCAAAATGAAAATATTATGTTACTATCTTCAAACACCGTTCAGGCAAAGCTTCTAACAAATGTCTGGGATTATCAAAAAACATTTCCTTACATTTTTATTGGGAAATATTTTAAAGTAGCCACAGATTAGTTGGCATGTTGTTTTGCTACTTTTTTAACTGGTGCCATACATTTGAGCTGGATTAGAACAGGATATTGGCTTGGCCATTTAATAACTGTTTATGTCACCAGCTCATTACTTCTTCTCCACATGCCTCTTATTCTTTTAGCAGTATCACTTCTAGGAAATATGATTATGCTTCTTACAGCTAATTAACATTAAATCAAGTGTGTGCTGCTTGCTTACAGAGAAGTACTTGTAACAATATTTCATTTAATTAATCAATCATATAAACACCAAAGGTTGAGTCTGGAAACATAATCTCATTATTTTCTGTATTATGACTAAAAGAGTGTATTTCAAAGTTTAAATTCTGTACTTTGTAATGTAAAAACTATTTTTAAACTTAATCTTTAACACAGTGCTGGATTACTAATTTAATTATTCAGCTCAAGGACAAGAATAGATTCCTTTCCCGCAACAACTAAACAGGGAACAACCTAAGATAAGAGAATTAATAAATGCAGAAAGATTTTAATTTAGATGTTGATGAAAAGTTTTAAATCAAATAATATATTACTATATGATTGTATTTTGTATTTCTCTTTAAAGTTTCTTGCAATATTTTTCTAATCTGCAACAGTTAATAACCAGATATCAGTTTTGAATATGAAGAAAGTAAAATTCTTTGCTTATTGTCAAGGTAACAGGTCTTACAACAATGCAAGAAGTCCTTCTTTCAACAACAACATACACAGATAAAAATAAACTTCATACTTAACTCAATTATTAGTGATTCACAAAGAACGAAATCAATTAGCTAAAGTGTTTTGTAATGAAAACTAGAAAAATTAATTCACATTTAATGAAATACAAAGTTAATTTATACAGTTTTAATTCACAAAGATTTTCACCTTTTTTTAAAAACTAGTTTCTTGTATTCATAATTGTACTTTTATTCATCTTTACCATGTAATTATATGGTAATAATGTTAGTAAAAACAATCATATTGTAGCTATCTAATCAAATCCAGCATGCCAATGAATATAAAAATACAGGCAGTAAGAGATCAATACAATGCGAGTGTTTTGCTCAAAATAAAGGTATTTAATGTATTAAGCAGTATCTGGTATGATAATTTTCAATGATCTAAAGGTTCAAAATAACAAAAGCTTTACTTTCTAGTTCAATTCGGAAATAAAGCTCCCAGACATGTAAACACACATACAAAAGATCAAATCAAAGTATTCAATGTTGTTTTACTGAACCAAAAACACTCAAAACTTGAGCCTTAGTTTAATACTTATTTATTAGTCTCTTGAAAAGTCATTGAGTTGATAAATCTTGTTTTAATAACTGATATTTTTTGTGTGATATTTTAGCTGTTTCACTTACCAGATGTACACTCAGATGGTACGGTGTCTCAATAAGCTATAACTTGGCTTTTTTAGTCATGTCTGTCATTAAATTTCTTCCACCATGGGAGATTTAACTTCTTTATTTCTTTCTCATGAGCCAGTTGAGCCTTTGTGGTGATTGGCTTAGAAAAGCTCTGGTATAAATTCAAATCTTTCACTGTCACATCTTCAATTCTGGGAGGTTCTGTAGTTGCAAAATAATCATTATTATGTTAACTTACTAAAGTTATTAATACAGTTGAAAAAAAAAACACAACATAACTGATGCTTTATCTTCTTTGAGTGATAATGTAGGTATCGTAAATGCCTCAAGCAGGTTAGGGTATAAACAGACACAACTTTTGAATTACATTTAAATCCCCATACTGAGAACACCAGGATGCTGAAATGTCCCAATGTCACTCACAGGTGCATATAAACCTGTCGGAGACGTTCCATCTACTGGAACTTCTGACAAAAAAGTATAAAGATGTATTCCAATATGCAGGATTTTTTTATTCCACGTTTTGGCCAATTTCAAGCAGATGTAACTCGTGAGTTCTAATATGTTAATGACCAAAAATATTATTAACAGCAAGGGTACCCAACTGATGAAATATTAAGAATTCTGATCTTTATACATAAAAATGCAAGAAAAGTATACTGAATTACTTATGATTATGGACAAGTTGATTTTTAGTTTCACTTTGGAGATTTAGCTTACTCTTATCACACATTATTATCATCATTATTCTAAAACATCACTGAAAACAAACTTATACTAGTTATTCAAAAATTCACGAACAAAACCTACAGAGTTCATCCTCATGTTTTTTTGTATGATGTCTGTTTGTAAGCAAAATATAAATATCTTTTGTAACACACACAACAAACTTTTGAAATATTACAGAACAAAACAAGTTTATACATTTTTTGCTTTGATCTATTTTTTGTTCTTCAATTTTAAAAACAATACTTAGAAAATAATACATGATACTAGTCAAATTTAATTATATGAAAAATTTATCCTACTCAATTAACTCTTTCAGCATGAGCTCGGTCCCTGGGACTGACCTCGTAACCATTTTGTGCTCGTTATAGTTTTCATGCGGTAACTTTTAAATTAGTTAACGAAATTTGGCAGTTTATCAGTAAACGTTACAATGCTTTCACATGCAAAATATCTAATTTTTTTATTAAGTCGTAAGGTTTGTAAAACAATGTTTCTCTCATGCCTTTTTTTTTTTTCACATCTTCTCTATCTATCATGCAAAGTAATTTTCATATGCGAAATCTTTATAATGTCTGGATAGTTGTCAAATGTTTCTTAAGAAAAAACTTTATATTTTATCTGTTATTTTCAGTAATTAATCTCTATATGGGTTTGGTAGATTTGAACTACCTCACAACCACCAAAAAAATAAAGAAATAATCATAAATTATTCCTCTTTCATTCCAGAATGAACAAAAATTATAACACAATTATTATTT